ATATATGTTGTCCTGTCAAGCTTCGAGCCCCGCTAGGGTCGCTGATGACACCCATTCAGGCGAGGTTGAAGCTGCGGCCAACTTCAGCCTGGATGTGGTTATTTTTGGTGAAGAGGGAAATGTGAAATTCAACGGAAGCGTCAGTTCTACTCATATGATTTAGGGAAAATTCAGCTACCAGTCCTTCATCACTTTCAACGAAATAGAGTGAACACATCTCATAGTTTTTTATAAATTTATTAAAGCAAAGTAACACTATTAATGCTAAGATTATATTAATTTTTTTAATTTTCATATAATATTATCATTTCTGTTGTGTTGTTGTTGTCTTTTTTTATAAGTTCTTTTTGGGCTAGAACATCTTAGGTTTTCTTGTTGCGAGGTATTGAAGTAAGCTGTTCAGAAAGATTAATATCCCTTTCAGTACAGTTAACTTGATTGTCTGACTGTCCGAATAGCCGAAGTGGAATCCTGAATTCGTCTAGGTCCCCATACACTATGAGTATCATCCGGCTGTCGATTTTCGTAGTTACCTCTTGCAAAATAATAAAAAATGCCTCTTCATTTTGTAGTTTGTTGACGGATTGTATGAGCCAAGGGAACCCCGTAACTGGTGTCCTCTTCCTCAAAGTCTCAACCAAAAGTATGACCTTGCCAAAATGACCTCCGACCTTTGCTTCACTCCTGGTTGTAGGATCAGACTATCACCTGATGGTCAGTATCTGTCTACCCCAGCCAGTTCGACTGCTGCCCGGAATTCTGCAACCATTGCTCTTCTGCCTGCTCAGTCTCGGATTGCTGATTCACACTGCCTTTCTTCCGTCTCCAAGGCTACAGCCGATTTTCAAGGTCCGTCCTCTCGACGGCTCTGGAGGCACCGCCGCCGCCGCCTCTTTCGGCAGTCGGCCCGGCGTCTGCTTCATTCAAGCCGGCCTTCTGTTCGCCCAATTGGCCAGTTGGCTGCTGACCAGCGGTACCGGATTTGAGGCTGCGAATACACTCGACAGAGTTTCGCAGCCTCGAGGACGTCAATTGGACACTGCCTCGAGTCTCGCCGCGAGCACCAGCGGAGGTTCAACGATGATGGGTGAGGCTCATGCGAACGAAGCCTGGCCGACGGAGTTGTCGGGAGCAGGGCTGCTGGTGACGGGACCAGGACGTCTGGGTCCCTTGAACGTCTGGTTTCTTATTTGTCTCTTCTTTCAAGTAGGTCTCTCTTTTGGAAAATTTGACGTACAATCAAATAAATGAATGGGTTCTGACGCTTTTCTCGATGTTGCATTGTGCAAAAATGCACAAGTAGATTGACAAGCACACCTCGCCAGAAGACAGCGACTAACTCGGCCCGGTCTGTAGTAGATTGTACGGAAGCCTTCCGAATTGACCAGTCCCCTAGACGCTCTCCAGTGATTTTGGTGAATGTAGGCTGATACATGATGTTTCATGCGTAAAGAGATAGTCAGAGCTAGACCTCATAACAACTCTGAGCGATAAGCGAGTTAAGCAGACTAATCGGTTCGTTTATAACTGCTAAATAGGATATAGGTGAATAGAGCTATAAATAAATAAATAAATAAATAAATAACTATAATCTGATATATGAGTTATCTGCTTATTTAGAAATAAATAAATATATGTTTATATATGTCCATGTTTGAGGGTGATTGTATGTGTACGTTTGAAGACGATACAATTAGCGATATTTATGCTTAATTAAGATAGAACATACGATTTTTGAGTAATCATAAGAATTATTTTGCCACAACAGACTCCATAATTAGGAACTAACCTTAAAATAATTTGAGTCCCGTTAAGTCAATAATAATAAAGTAACTGATTCCAACAGAATTAAAGGCTGAAATGTAATAAGAATAAAAATGACTCGAACCGCTATTAATGGCCAATTGAGGTGAAATTAAAAAATGAATTTGTCAAAGTGTTGGCAGAAAGATTGTCAAGGGATTTACTTCACTTGTGTCTGTGACGAGTTGTAGCATGAAGCTGGGAATGGCAAGATTAACTGACGATGCCGGAAAAAGGTCTGAGGCTGCATAAAGTCCACGATCAAACGTTGGGAATTAGCATAACTACGAGAACAGAGGAGTTCGGACAAGGTGTGTTGAATTAGGTCACCCTGACAGCATGTTCAAGTTGAGAAAATGAGTTCAGACCATTTCCATACATCGGAAGGAGACTGTGACCAAACTAGAGTCCACAGCATCTTGGTCTTCCTATCCACACTGAAGCTTCCAAATATTCTCAAATTAATAACTATATGCATTTTGATTAGGAGGTTTTCCTTCATGACTATGTTTTCATTTAATTCTGGGCCGGTGAACCTGGGCAGAATAGGCTGGAAGCCTTAACATCCTTACAAATTGTATCAAATGCTGAGTTTCGATAGAGCCTGTTACATTCTTTAGACATATGACTCTGAAGCATCATTGCCTCACTCCTTTTGGTTTCAGATGCTTCTGGAAAGTGGAAATGGTATCATCTTATAGAACTGAGAATCTCTGATTAGTAAGAGATGGAATCTAGTGACATTTTTACACAAACGCTTAATAACAGCAATAAAGTGAATTATTAGCACGATAGTCAGGTAGGTAGACTTGTATTCGGTATTTAGCTCGACGACATTACTAGAGGCGTAGTGAGTGGAATTCGAGAACTTGAATAGGAATTGTATCCAACCTAGTCAGCAAAAGATGCAGACCTGATGGTCGAATATTCCAAAAAGGATATGAGAAGACTTCAAAATGTTGTTTAAGTTCAGACGGCGGTTCCTCATTTTATACATGATTTACTAAAAGTATCAGAGCCTGTAAAACACCAAAAAAATGTAGTTGAGTTTGATGACAAATGCAAGTTAGCCTCATCAACGAGTCGATTAAAAATGCAAATTGATAGACGTCCCAAAAGTCACAACTTCCCCATGACCTATTGGTACTCTTGGCTGTGTAACCGAGGGATAGCATATCATCACGATGCACACGACCAAACTCCCAACTCCGTTGGGAGTGCCAAAGAGATCCAATCCTGTTCCAGTGAGTCAGCCTCTTGAAAGCAATAAAATGTATGCTCTAATGGCACCATGAGCTTTCTGGAAAGTATAACTGTCACTCCTACATCA